TATTATAACAGTTCACTTCTAAGGTTCCTAAAGTTATTCATATCTACAAGTTTGGTGGGTCCCACGTATTTAAATTTTAAAAGCTTATAGTTTGTTTAAAATGACTATGAACAATGAATATACCTTAGCCGAGTGGTATAAGGCATCTAATGAAGTCCACAAGTGCGTGGGTTTAAACCGCATAGCTGTTATGTATTTTAATTTTTTCGTTTTAATGTTTTTATGTTTTTTTTCCTCTGGACTTATTGTTTAAAACTTAAAATAGTGGAAAAATCATAAAATTTGACGAACTCAAACCCAAAAAAAAATAAAAAACGAACAGCTCAAAAAAAAAAAAAAGTCCCACATGGCACTATTATGTCCTAATATATATTTTCTGTTAGAACATATTTGCTAATATATATTTTCAAAAATTATGTATGCGAAATAAAATAAAACAACAAAATTTAAGTTTTTTCTTATTTATAAAATATCTATGTAATTTCTCTTCAATTTTTAATAGTTACTATAATTTCATTTTTATCAGACTCCCGCGAATGGATTTTCACAGTCGATGACGCCGTAAATAAAAATGCCACATTATTCATGAACAAAATTCAAACTTACAAAAAAACATATCCAGAACTATCTATCGAAACCCAAACAACAAATATTAGTTTAAATTAAAGTTATTTTCAAATTGATAAATCGTTTAATACAAATATAAATAATATAAATAAATAATTATATCAAGTTTTGACCTCCGATATAAAAACTATTTCCAACATAAAAAAATAAAAAACAAGATAGACACCTATTCTTATACACTAGAAACTATATTATAATTTCGTTATTCCTATAAACCTTACTTCGCATATAAATAACATTTAACACATTATATATATAATATTTTCAGTTTACACTCTTGCTACCTTCTTTCCATTTCATCATGATTTGGTATTATTAAAATAACTCACTAAACCAACAACCGAAAAAAACACAGTCAAACATCAATGATCCCCGGCTCCGCGCTTGCGCGGGGGTATGCAACTAGTAGTTTTTAATCCACTTGTAACATACTAACTTTTGTCAATTCTCTTCACTAAAACAAAACCGTCTGGATTATAACTAGTACTCCACATTTCCAAAGTATAAGATGTTCTAAATAAATTTTTAAAATTAGTTTAAATATATAACTAATCATAAAAATAATAGATTTAAAAGAGAATAATATCAAATGAAGTACATATGTTTAGAAACTTATAACATCTTATAAAGTTGATAATTAATTTTATAGAACATAGAAGGTATTTTATTTATAAAAATAATAATATTTGTAGTCAAAATAAATCTTATTTTCTTTTATATAAAGAAAGATGATAATTTGAAAGAAAAATTTAGCTAGCCATTCAAGAATCAGTTAGACAATCACCTCATTGATATTATTTATTGGCTGTAGGATACACAATATTGAGAAAGGACATTGTCTATGTATAAACTAGGCCACACAAGTCAAGAAGTCATATCCTATACTTTTGTTTGGTAATAATCATATCCCCTACGTTATACGTACAAACTCACCGTTTGCTTACCTTGGCTCTGTAATTTATTTGTATACAATTATAGATAATATTTTATTAGCCAATCATTGTCTCATCTTGTAGTGTAGCATATTTTAAGAGTTTTACTACATATTTATATTTGTTGCCCTTTCACAAACAATAATTAAAAACCATCCTATAAGCAAAATCATATATGTATATACATGTACAAGTATAAAATGTTTTAGAAATCATAATAAATACAAAAGCTGAAAACAAATTTGCATGAAAAAAAAAACAACAAAAAGAAAAGAAAACCACCAAGAAGTGCTTTCTTTAACAGAGATAGCTTTTCAAGAACCTTAAAACAGTTCTGTTGCAGAGTTACCGACCAAAAAGCCAGTTTCTTCTTTACCGAATAGAGAGAACTAGAGACTCATGGAAGAAGATTTGAACCAGATTGTCAACAGTAGTAGTTACAATGGAGAAGAAGAACAAGGAGACCCAGAGAGCAACACACTGAACCAGCCTCTTGTTAAGGCTAACCGAACACTATCTTCAACTCCACTTGCTTTGGTCGGTACAAAGGTTTCTCACATCGAGAGCTTGGACTATGAGTATATCTTCTTCTTCTTCTTCTCTGCATAATTTTAAATTTCATGGTCTCAGTTTTTTTTCTAATGTTTAAATGAAAATATTGACAGAATAAACGAGAACGATTTGTTTAAACATGATTGGAGAAAAAGATCAAAGACACAAGTGCTTCAATACATATTCTTGAAATGGACATTCGCTTGTCTTATCGGTCTATTCACTGGTCTTATCGCTACTCTCATCAACTTAGCCGTTGAAAACATAGCTGGCTACAAGCTTTTAGCAGTTGGTCACTTCCTCGCCCAAGAAAGGTAATGAATTCAACAAACATTTAAGATACTTTCTTCTTTGGAGTGTTATAATGATTAAGTCTTGTGTGGAAAAACAGATATATAACAGGTCTGATGATCTTTGCTGGGGCGAATTTAGGGTTGACGTTAGTTGCATCTGTGCTTTGTGTATGCTTTGCTCCCACGGCTGCTGGTCCTGGTATTCCTGAGATCAAAGCTTACCTTAATGGCATCGACACTCCCAACATGTTTGGTGCTACCACTATGATCGTTAAGGTTTGTTTTCTAAACTTATAAGGAGATTCATGTGTTTAAGTTTGATTATTCGACTCACGGTTTAAGTTCTGATAGATCATTGGAAGCATTGGAGCAGTTGCAGCTGGACTTGACCTAGGTAAAGAAGGTCCTCTTGTTCACATTGGAACCTGCATAGCTTCTTTGCTTGGACAAGGTGGACCAGACAACCACCGGTTAAAGTGGAGGTGGCTTCGTTACTTTAACAACGATAGAGACAGAAGGGATTTAATAACGTGTGGCTCAGCAGCTGGAGTCTGTGCAGCCTTCAGGTCACCTGTTGGAGGTGTGCTTTTCGCTCTTGAGGAAGTAGCTACTTGGTGGAGAAGTGCCTTGTTGTGGAGGACTTTCTTCAGCACAGCGGTTGTTGTGGTTGTTCTAAGGGAGTTCATAGAGATATGTAACTCAGGGAAGTGTGGATTGTTTGGAAGAGGAGGGCTTATCATGTTTGATGTGAGTCATGTAACGTATACTTACCATGTGACTGATATAATCCCTGTCACGTTGATTGGTGTCATTGGTGGAGTTCTTGGGAGCCTCTACAATCACTTTCTGCATAAAGTTCTCAGGCTTTACAATCTCATCAACCAGTTAAGTTTTGAATGTTTGCAAACTCTTGTTATGTACTTGTACAATGTGCTTACTTACCTTTTTTTGTAGGAAGGGTAAGATCCATAAGGTGCTTCTCAGTCTTACAGTATCTCTCTTCACATCAGTTTGCCTCTACGGTCTTCCTTTCTTGGCCAAATGCACGCCTTGTGACCCTTCAATAGAAGAGAGATGCCCAACGAATGGTAGATCAGGAAACTTCAAACAGTTCCACTGCCCAAAAGGCTACTACAGTGATCTAGCTACTCTGCTTCTCACCACTAATGATGATGCTGTCAGAAACATCTTCTCTTCCAACACTCCCAATGAGTTTAGCATGGGTTCCCTTTGGATATTCTTTGTGCTCTACTGCATCTTAGGGCTTTTCACATTTGGTATTGCAACACCTTCAGGTCTCTTCCTCCCCATCATCCTCATGGGTTCTGCATATGGCAGAATGCTTGGTGGGTTGATGGGATCATACACTAGTATTGACCAAGGGCTTTACGCTGTTCTTGGTGCAGCTTCACTCATGGCTGGTTCCATGAGAATGACTGTTTCACTCTGTGTTATATTCCTTGAACTCACCAACAACCTTCTTTTGCTTCCCATTACAATGATTGTGCTTCTGATTGCTAAAACTGTGGGAGACAGTTTCAACCCAAGTATCTATGATATCATATTGCATCTTAAGGGATTACCTTTCTTGGAAGCAAATCCAGAGCCGTGGATGAGGAACCTCTCCGTTGGTGAGCTTGGTGATGCTAAGCCTCCGGTTGTGACCCTGCAAGGTGTAGAGAAGGTTGCTAAGATAGTTGATGTGCTAAAGAACACGACGCATAATGCATTCCCTGTTTTAGATGAAGCAGAAGTAGTACCTTCTCAAATGGGTCTAGGAACTGGGGGTATAGAACTCCACGGGTTGATCCTGAGAGCCCACCTGGTTAAAGTGTTGAAAAAGAGATGGTTCTTGACGGAGAAAAGAAGAACAGAGGAGTGGGAGGTTAGGGAGAAGTTTCCATGGGATGAATTGGCTGAGAGAGAAGACAACTTTGATGATGTGGCAATCACAAGCTCTGAAATGCAAATGTATGTTGATCTTCATCCTCTCACCAACACAACTCCTTACACTGTCATGGAGAACATGTCTGTGGCCAAGGCTTTGGTTCTGTTCCGGCAAGTTGGACTCAGACATTTGCTTATTGTTCCCAGGATTCAAGCCCTAGGAGTGAGTCAATCTGCATTTTTGACTCTCTTTTACTTCCATTCTTGCTATAAAGCGTATTAAGAAATCCATTGACACTAACTAAATCGTTTGCAGATGTCTCCTGTCATTGGGATCTTAACGAGGCAGGATCTAAGGGCATACAATATTCTACAAGCTTTTCCTCACTTGGACAAATCCAAAGGTAGAAAAGCACACTAAATTGCTACTTCATCTCTTTTACCTTTTCTCTGTAAAATGGCTTTGCGGCTATGTTGTTTTCTTCCCATTCTTGAAGATGTTTCTGTCCAGTTTTGCACTTTTTTCTTCATACCAAACAGACAATGTTAAGTTAAAATCATTGCACAAAATTTCTGTTTATACTTGTAAAATCACAGTGAGAGAGGAACCATATCTCCTTTTTTAAAAGGAACATAGCAAAATTGTTCTCATCCACTACATGGTCTCCTGGACCTGGAATTTTGAAGTTCGATCTGCTACAAAGATTAACTACTTAGCACGCACTTTCTTTAATCCCATTTTCTTTACTCCCGATTTCTTCTTTTTTTTCATTACAACCCTTCTCTTGAATACGGCCAAGACTTCAATGCTGAAAACACCAGTTGTAAAGTAAGCACTTATTGGAGTATGGAACATAAAGTAGGTTGTAGCTTATAAACTGATATACCTGTCAGTTCCGGGAAAGAAGTTGAAGCCATGTGCTTTTTCCAGCTCCCACGCTCTGCTAGATAACAATGACTTGCAGTCCTAAACAATTGTTTAGAAGTTAGAAAGAACCAAAAGATGCAGAGTTTGTTGGTAGTATAGAGGTGATATTAGTGATTGTCTCTAGTACCTCCTTAAAGCTTTCCCAACCACAGCTTATATAAATGAGCCTTTGCGGTAAAGTATTATTCTCCTCAGGGGTCACCTTGTTGCCAGCCTGAACTGAAAGTTCCCTTGCTCTTAATATCCACGGCCTCTTCTCTTCTTTTGCATTCGAGCTTGTACTGAAACAAGAGAGAATTAATAGATCCATTAAGATCTAGCTTTCGAGTTTTTATGATGGTCTCTGGATTCTGGAAGCAAATTCAAAACTATTATTCAGAAGAAATTGAGCAACCTCTGTGATGAAGACCTCATTCTTTTCTCAATGGAGGGGACAGACTCCAAAATCTGACGGAGAGAAGCATCCAGACCTCTTCTAGGAGGATCCACAACGACTACATCTGTTCCTATAATCCATGATAGTGGGTTCTGTAGAATTTTGAATACAAGGTAAAACACATCAATAAAAGTGTTTGACAAAATCCTACAGAATTTGAAAGAAAAAAAATTTGGTATAGACAAACACTACTGAGTACTGACAACTGAAGCATCTGCATGGTGCCAAGTGATGCTGCAATTCAATGAGTTCGGCAACCTCTGGATTGTTTTCTCAAAAGACAGCCTAGCTTCTTTGTTAACCTCAATGCATTTGACAGAACTGCGATCAGGATAAAGTTTATAATTGGGGTCAATCATTTCATCAGTATGAACATATATACACAATCTTCTTAAATGCAAGACAGATATGAACAGACTCTGTTCTTGCCTGCATTTCCTTGATGTAGCTAACGATAGTCCAATTACCCCGGCTCCTGCATATAGATCAGCAACAGATGATCCACCAGGAACATACTTATGCAGTTTCCAAAGCAAGCTATCAAAAGCCTGACACACAACAATGGACATATCAGGATTCATACAGCATTTACTACAGCCGTCATGACAGTTCAGTTCAAACGAGCAGATATCAGATCTGCTGCTAATCTACTCGCCGCTCATAAAGCTTAAACTTAATATCTGCATGCTTACCCGTGTATTTGCTTGGCCAAAACTGGAAGGATCCAAGGATATGTCAATTCCTCCAACGTGTTCCCAGAAATCTCTCTCACCTAAAAGATGCCTCCATCTGTTTCCAAAGATTATCTAAGACAAATGGCATGATTAAGTTTGATGTTAAGCAACTGAACCAAAAAAGTAACACCTCTAGGCAGAGAATCTTCCAGTCCACAACATTATGCCAGAACAAAGTCTATAAGCTAACATTGATGATATTCTTTGGACCAAGCATAATGAAATTTTGTTCACTGACTCACATTGTTGGTTGATGTCTGAAAGTTAGCCCATACAGAATGGATCAGGTGAAACTTGCAATTCGGTCCACCCTTTCTCCATAGGAACTGCAAATGAGAAATATATAAGTGAAACTAACCGAACAATCAAGGAAACAAAGAGAAAGGACTCACGAAAATTCCCAGGGGAAAAAACTCACGCTGGACAAAGCTTGCAACTTATCTGCATTAAAAGATTTCTCATTTCTTGAGTTCCATACCAAGGACACCTGCACTTTTCCTGAAACCAAGGTTATACTCAGAAACTGTTCTTTCAATCTAACTGAATCAGATCCGTGCAAAGATACTAAAAAAAAAATAAGAAAACTGTCCCACCATTTTTGTATCTCTCTGGAGCACGTAGTGATGTACTGTGCGTCGTAACAGCCATCTATAGAACAAAGTCATTACCACACTGGAGCGAAAACATCTCCATATATACTCAAATATGATACACTGATACCACTAACAATCACCTGCACATATCGTAAGTCCCCAGTGCCCTGATCCTCATCAAATGGCACGACATCGAACACCTTAATACCTTAAAAAGTACAGTAAATATAATCAATCTTCAGTTCTTATGAATCCCAAAACTAATTAAGAATCAATACCTTCTCTCAGTAACTCGATAGCAGCATTAATATTAGGATGATGAGCTGCAAAAATCAAAACTCAACCTAATCAAAACCATCATTACAACTTATAAAAATCATAAAGTAAATGAAATTACCTTTACATTCAGGAATATCTACAACGGTGTGAGTTCCCTCTTGATACAACCCTATCAATACATTATCCGACGTCCCACGAACAGCTAGCTTTGCTCGGCACCTCCATCCCCACTGTCACACAAGAAACACGCAATTCAAAAAAAAAAAAAAGTCTCCACCAGAAACTAAAAGACCTCATGACGAAGAAGTGAACTAACCAATCTACAGCTATCGAAAGTGAAATCTTCGACGCCGTAACGCTTGAAGAAGCCTGAAGCTTCGTCTACGACAGGTGGACGTTGGAGATTGAACTCCTGCGTGCAGCCTGAGCACCTGAAAACCTCAGAGTCACGAAATTTAAAGCTCACGTCGAATCAATTATCAGAAAACTTGATTAAGAAAAGAGGAGCGTACGATTGGAAATGAGGACACTGGAGAGAGCAAGCTAGCGACTCGGAGGAGCTTAACGGGAGAGAAAGAGAAGCGACGGGGGGAGAAGCCGGAGGTGACACGCGGCAGGTTATAATTGGATAACGAGCGCCGAACGAGAAAAGCGTCGACGAATGCATCATCGCTGTGGCTTCACTCTCGCCGGGAATGGATAATGTAAAAACTATATATATCTCCCCGGTTTGTATCAAACCAAATTTAATTAAACCCGATCCGATTCTTAAACCAAAATAATCTCTCCCCGGTTTGTATCAAACCAAATTAAAAATACCCGATTAGATTCTTAAACCAAAATAATATCTTCCCGGTTTAGTATTAAACCAATTTAAAAAATACACGACCCGATTAGATTCATAACCCGATACAAAATCCGACCCAGTTCAATAACAGACTCTCTTCTCCCTCCGAAACAGAGCTCACAAGCGCAAGAACAGAGATGAATCACTCTCTTCACTTTCTCCTCTTCTTTCTCCTTCTAACCCAAGCGTCTTCCCTCCGCTTCTCCCCGTCTCAACCCAACCTAACCCTCTACGGAGACGCCTTCTTCCGCGGCCACACAATCTCCCTCACTCACCAACAGCCCTGTTTCCCCACACCTTCCCCTCCCAACTGCTCCTCCTCAGGCCTCGGACGCGCACTCTACGTCTACCCCATCAAGTTCCTAGAACCCTCCACCAACACAACCGCTTCTTTCTCCTGCCGCTTCTCCTTCACCATCATCTCCTCCCTTTCTTGCCCCTTCGGCGATGGCTTCGCCTTCTTGATCACCTCGAACGCAGAGTCTTTCACCTTCTCCAACGGCTTCTTGGGTCTCCCCGACCCGGTTCTAGACCCGCACGGCTCCTTCATCGCCGTCGAGTTCGATACTTCCTTCGACCCGAGTCACGGAGACATCAACGATAACCACGTTGGTATCGATGTGAACTCAGTAGTCTCCGTTGCTTCCGTTGACGCGGTTTCGAAAGGGATTGATCTTAAGAGCGGGAGGGAGATGAATGTGTGGATTGAGTATAGCGACGTACTCAAACTCATGAGAGTTTGGGTTGGGTACTCACGTGTTAAGCCCAAGAAGCCAGTTTTGTCTGCGCGGGTTGATCTCGCGGGGAAGTTTAGAGAGTACATGCACGTGGGGTTCACTGCCTCTAACTCAGTACTTGGTTCAGCGTTTCATATCGTTGAGAGGTGGAAATTTAGAACCTTTGGGTCTCACCCTGAGGCGATTCAAGAAGATGATGATTGGTTGGTTTGCTTTGAGAATCCTGGGAATGGTCGTCACCGTTATGGTTTGGATGTTAGGGTTTCGGTTGTTGGGTTAAGGATACCGTTTTGGAGTCTCTTACCTGGTTTAGCTGCTGTTGTGGTTCTCACTGCGTTTATTGCTTACTCGTTGATTCGAGGGAAGAGGAGGGTTGTTTGTGAAGGAGGAGGGATGACTAGAGTCCCGGGAAGATTATCTTTGTCTGAGATAAAGTCTGCGACTTCGGGGTTTAACGAGAATACTATCGTGGGTCACGGAGCTACAGCAACTGTGTATAGAGGCTCCATTCCTACGGTTGGATCAGTGGCTATAAAGCGTTTTGATCGGGCTCATTGGCCGCAGTGTAACCGTAACCCTTTCACCACGGAGTTTACTACAATGACGGGTTACTTGCGGCACAAGAATCTGGTTCAGTTTCAGGGTTGGTGTAGTGAAGGAACAGAGACGGCTTTGGTGTTTGAGTACTTGCCTAATGGAAGTTTGAGTGACTTCCTTCACAAGAAACCTTCTTTGGATCCGTCAGAAGAGTTCGTTGTCCTGTCTTGGAAGCAGAGGGTAAACATCATTCTCGGCGTGGCCTCTGCACTTTCTTATCTACACGAAGAGTGCGAGAGACAGATCATCCACCGTGATGTCAAGACCTGTAACATAATGCTTGACGCTGAGTTCAACGCAAAGTTAGGTGATTTCGGGTTAGCTGAGGTTTATGAGCACAGTGCGATGTTATCTGGACGCGACGCTACTCTCCCAGCAGGTACCATGGGTTACTTAGCACCTGAATACGTTTACACAGGCGTTCCTTCTGAGAAATCCGACGTTTACAGCTTCGGTGTGGTGATTCTTGAGGTGTGTACGGGGCGTAGACCGGTTGGAGATGACGGGTCAATACTTATAGACTTGATGTGGAGTCTCTGGGAGAAAGGGAAGGTCCTGGATGGTGTTGATGTTATGCTGAAGGAAGAGTTTGATGCAGAGGAAATGGAGAGAGTGCTGATGGTTGGGATGGTATGTTCGCATCCTGATTGTGATAAGCGGCCGAGGGTGAAGGAGGCTGTGAGGATCATACGTGGGGAGGCTCCGTTGCCAGTTCTTCCGGCAAGGAGGCCTTTGCTGAGGATACAGTTGACTTCAGAGGCGGAGGCAATGATTGCTGATAGTTTGGTTCGGGATGAACTTCCTTGGATGACGCCAAAGTCACACTTTTAGCTGTAAACTGTCATTGGATGACGCCTAAATCACACTGTTTTGATTGTGACTAAACATTCAGAATAATAGTTTAGTAGAATGGAGTTTTTTGATATGTACAAAAGCAAGAAACTTCAAATGATTTTTTTTAATAGAAAAGACAAGCAATAGTTGCCTTTGTGGATCATGTTTTGATAACATTGTCGCAACTCTATGACCACGCAGACAAAGACACAGCTGGGTTTTGAAACCAGAGATTAGTAAGTACTTTTACTCGTCAGTACCAAAGTAGCGATCGCCATATTCACCCAAACCTGGTATAACCCGAAAGTCTTCATTCAGACACTGATCTATTTCAGATGTCACAATCTTCAACAGTGGAAACCGTTTGCAGACGCAATGGATTCCTTCCGGAGCCTGCAGAACGGGGAATCAACTGTGAGTTTGTGACTGGGAGATAGAGTAAGAACAAGTTATGTGATGAAGTATCATTTGGTTGATTTAACACTCACCGAGATAAGATTGAGGAATATTATGTGCGATTCAGGGACTCCTTTACGTATGAGTAGTTCTATCGCCTGACTTGCACAGTTACCTTCAAGAAATCCAATGAACCTTTTAGGAGAATGTACAGTTCAAACCATGAGAACAAAACTAACTGAAAGTGTACCTGTGCCTAAAACGGGATCTAGAAGCAGGACATGGCGCTCGGAGATATCACTTGGAAGCTTCTCATATATAAGCTGATTCATATGCAAGGAAGACCTTTTTAAGTTTCTTTGTTTGGAAAAAGAGAGATATCATCTTTGTAAATAGTCAAAGGTGTTAAGGTAAAAAAAAAAAAACAGATAAACAAACCTGCATTCCATTGTCGCCTTCACGATGTATAAGAATCTTCCCAATTTTAATTCCTTTGCAACATGCACGTAACGCGTTTTCCATGCTTTCACCACTAGTAGAGCGTACAAAACAGAAAACCTTAGCCATAAGAATATAATAGAATGTCATATGAACTGACTCGACATATGAGCAAACAAACAATGTGTGCTTCCCATGTTACACACGTTTCTTTTGTCCCACATTTTGAAAGTGTAAACAAACTGGAAACCACAACAGCTCTAGTCTCCATCTATCAAGAACTTCAAAACATGTAAGACCTTTCAACGCTCACCTTCGAATGATTGAGACCCCACAAAGTTTCTTGCAGAAATCAACACCGCTATACACAGATCCTGGTTTGGGAAAATAAAGAAATTATGCAATCGAGCAGTAAATACTACATAAAGTATTAGGTTTTCTCCTCGACTTCCATAATGCACAAACAATCTTTCTAGATCCATGACGAAAGAGATGATAATGGATCTCAAGAACTAGTTAGTCAAGTTTTTCAGAACCATGAATATCTTAAAGTAAAAGGTCATAAAGTATAACTACAGCTCAAGCCATTCTCCTCTTATACCTGTTGGAGTAACTACTTGTTTCTCAGTGAATGGCAAATGGCCAAGACCATGCTCTACAACCTGAAATGAATCCATTAACAATCATAATAATAAACTTGAAAGCTGATACATTGAAAGGGAAGCACGAATTAAAAGGGTACCAGACGAATGAGGCGATCTGAGTAAAACACAAAGTCATGTTTTGATATGTCCTTCTCTCGAATAAGTGTATGCATGCCTCTTATCTGCAATTATGATCTCAGAGTGAGAAAATGGCTTTCAGCCTTATCGTCAGAATCAAGCATCAAATATCTGAAAAATGGCAGAAGTTACCTGAAAGGTTGATTGGATAACAAAAAGATTTGGGTAGATTTTGCAGAGATCATGTTGCCCAAGTTTTGTGTGGATATGTTGCACAATCAAATCAACTGCAACGTGATTGTCACCTCCTCGAGGAATGATCACATCGGCATATTTCTTTGAAGGGAGCACAAAATCATCAAACGCAGGCTTCACAAACTTTGCATACTATAAATGAACATAACACACTCAAACCAAGAAAAATGAGAAATAAACGAAGCTCAGAATATGACAGTGTTATACAGAAAACAGCCTAAAAAGTACAGAGTCAGAAACACTGAGTTGTTCAGTATTGAAGGAAAAACATATAAGTTGCTGGTTCCTTGTCTCGTATTTAATAAAGTTAAGAGTACTAACGTAGATATGTGTAGCTGGCGGGGAAATTTTACACCAAATCTGAAGCAAAGACTAACCTGTTCAAGTACAGAATCAACATCCCTACCCCTCTCAACCGTGTCACGCCTGATTCTGCGAGCAAGCCTCACATCCGCATCTGGAACCAATTAATAGCTAAGATGAGAACTTTTAACTTCGATGTGGTTATAGGCATTTCAAAGAGATTCATAGTTGGCTAATTTAATTGTACAGCTTCAACAGCATTCATTCTGTCTTTAAAGATAACAAGTAATAAATGGTGACAGTGAGTTCATCCGTCAAGGTCATCAGCTACAGAAATGGAAGTGGACAACTTCCATCACGATATACAGTACTCAGTATATCGTTTAGATTTTTTCCACAAAAATAAGGTCAAATAATGGAAAACCAAAAAGAAAAGGAAACAATATACTGAAGCTAGTTATCCTGGAGTTAAGGTGGTGACCTGTGTCAACGAAGATCTTCATATTCATCAGATCCCGAACTCGTGAGTCATGAAAAACTAGAATCCCTTCCAAAATTATGACATCACAAGCATTGACCTGAAAAATTCCCCCACTAATTGGTTTAACAAACGATAATCTTCATAAACTCAACGCCTAAAATACACTTAAAATATGCTGAGTATCGTTTCAGAAAAACAATATTCTGAATCCAACCACATGGAGTTAGAAGCTAAAACCATAAAACCGCAAAAACATAACTTTTAAGGAGGTCAAAGAAAAGGAGATACAAAATATACAGAAAAGCATGAACCTGGCGAAAAGCATCTGATTTACGTTGATGGGTCTTGAAGTCGTAAATTGGAATTTGATAGGGTTGGCCACTCTTGAGTGTATCAATGCAATGCAAAAGCTGCTCAGTGTCAAAGGCATCTGTAGAAAACAAAAACAGACATTGAAAATTTAACCAATTTGTCCTGAGCTGAATATCAGTGTACTCAAACAATAAAGCATAATCAGAGAGAGATCCAAAAGGGCCAATAAGAAAATCTACCAGGATGATCGAAATTGTATTCTTGCGCACGCTCCAGTTCTTCCGATGTCAGACCACGGTAAAATGAATCCTAATCAATAAAACAATACATCATATATCCAAGCTAGCAAGTGATAACATGGGAGGGCTTCAGAACAAACCTGGTTAACAAGAACAATGCGATGATCATGAAGTTGCTGGATTATCATGTCACATACCGTGGTCTTACCAGAAGCTGTACCACCAGAAACTCCTACAGAATTCAAGCAAAAACCAAAAATCAAGCCCTAGAAAACCGATATCAGTCCAGCTATCTCTTATCTTTTTCAAGTTAAGCTCTATAAACAGACACTGATCCAGATTTCTCTAAAATTGGAAGCACAAATGCTACCGGAGATTCTGTACAGCTAAAACCCTAAGATATAAACAAAGAGATAATCCTCAATAATCGGAATTCAACTATTGACTAAGCAACGATCAAAGCGTTAAGGAGAATCGAAAAATCACCGATGACGAAAGGCTGATTAGGAGCGGCGGGATCGGAAATGAGGGAGAACGATGGAACACCGGAACGGAAGGGAGAAGGGGAAGAAGAGTTGTTGGATTTGGAGGGAGAAGAGATAAGGCCGTCGAGGCGAAGACCGGATAAGTGAGGCCCCGATGCCTTCTCCATGACGTAGTCGATCGAAGTAGAGTCTTCCGGCATTGGATTCCCGGCGAAATTCTGATTCGGAGGAGAACGAGAGAATCGACGATTCAGGGAAAATAAAAATTGTTACGCAGTGATCAGTGACGGAACGAATCTGCACAATACTGGTAAGCCCCACTTGTCTCTCTCTAGTTCCCTCCGTCTTTTTAAAATATTTATTGACAGAAACGTGAATAAATACTAAACTCATTAAAATATCAGATATTTTGTATTATTATTTTCCTTAAATTAATAAATCTAAATTTTGATCTATTTTGAGATCAAATTATTTGTTTTGTTTCTGTTATGAACTACACTTAAATTTTGTACTATTATTTGAAAAATAATTTTATTTAGTATCCCTAATTTTTGATAGTTTATTTATTTATCATGTTTTTATGTTTTTGTCTGATGATTACAAAATAAACAAAAAGTTTAAACATTAAAAAGTGGGCATATGAAAAAGGCATAATAGAGAATATTCCCACCTGACCAATCAAGAAGACAAGAAGGTGGGAAAACAAAGTAACTGAGAAATACGGATATAATAACAAAATCACAAAATGCAATACCCGAAATACATGATGATAATACAACAAACACGGAATCCACAAAATTATTTATTTTCTCTCCCCCGAAAATGCTTCCTCAATACAAAAGCGTTTCTCAGAAAGCCCAAACAAGCCCAACAACCAACGATCCAACTGCTAAAACATATCCAATGGAAGCACGTAGCCCCTGACCGGAGCTTGAACTCGAACCGGAGCCGGTGCTCGAACCCGAATCTGAATCGGAGCTTGAATCCGAATCCGGAGAGGAAGCGGCGGTGGAGTCAGCAGAGACAACGTTGACTTTAACCTTCATGCCTGATTCGCAATGCCCTGGGGTCCCACATGCGAAATAACGAGTACCGGTTTTCGAGACTTTAACGACGTCGTTTCCAGAGCTTAAGGAATTTACAGGTGTTCCCAGGTCACAACTCTTGTATGCCGCTTCGCTTCCCAGCTCTACAACGCTGTGTAGTCCTGAATACTTAAAAACTACAAGGAACAAAACAAAAAAACGGGTTGGTTAGCTTTAACCGGTCGGTTTGAGTAAGAAAATTGATTTTAGAGAAAAACATACCAAGTTGGTCGCCGACTTTGAAAGATTTATCTGACGACCAAGAATCAAAGTCAACGGATTGATCCCATCCTTGGCTCCCGCCTATCACATGCTGTGCTGCTAAAGTTGTCTGAACCGCCAGTAAACCGGAGAAAACCAGGATAACTAGAGCTGCTTGCATTTTCATTGGTTTTTAGTTACTTTTAGTGAATTGAAGAAAGCTGTTTAGAAATACTATGTTAGCTGCTGCTAGCTAGTGCGTATATATATACAAGGCAGTGCATGACATTGGTTGCTTAAGATGTAGAAGTTAGGAAGAAAAGAAACAAAACAAACTTGGAGTTGAATCGAAGCTAAGATCTTTAGTAGTTGTCATATCTTTAAATTAGTATATGTGTTCTGTTTGTTTTTGATATTTTTATGTGTTCAAATAGAACGTTTGTATCAGAATTGCCGAATAAGTTAAGGAGCCAAAAAAGCCTTATCATGCACGCAAGATTTAAGAACCAACCGGTTAAGAAATAGAGCTTGCACCTTTGTGGGTTAACTACTTTCACCTAAAGCTTCTAGTGTTTCTCTTTGAACCATTTTAAATATAAAAAGCTACTAGTAAGCTGGTTTTGATTAGTCTAAAGGTTAATGAGAACTACACTCCAAGAATGAAGATTTTTATCACCACTGAACTTGAAAACTATTAGTTGTAAGTTCATAAGCCATGGTAAGTTTTATATCACAAAAGTTTAAGCAACAATGAATCATGGTAAGAGTTTTCAAACTTCACAAGCCAAAGATCATAATTTTATCAACACACCAGAACATCTCTTCTTTTTTTTTTTACATAATCTCTTCAACTATAGGATTCATTTTCTTCTCATCACAGCAAGTGAAGTAGTAGTACTTGTAAAAAATTTCACAAGAGTTTTTACTCTGAGAGATCTCTTTCTCATTTTATCATATACACAACGTTACTATCTCTTGCATCTCATTTCACAGCAACAGGGGTTTCAGAGTGCATCTTCTTCCTTCCACCACATGCAGAGAAACCAGGAAGACACCGATGATGTTGCCAGTTAGACGACTTCTTCTTCTCTTCCTTCACAATAGAGTCTTCGATGGCTAACTTGTTGAACTCGTCTGAGTGTTCACCGGAGAGATAAGGAGAGCTTAGAGATGATGACCCTCCAGAGCTTTCCTCTCGTTCTTCTCTTATGCTTTCTCTGAAAAGATCACCAAGCTTCTTCCTCCTCGGTCTTGGCGCTGGAGAAGAGCCTCGAGAAGGCTTCTTCTCGTGGAATATAAGGTTGTTGATACGAGGAAGTCTGTCCGAGAAGCTGCTCTTAGGAGTGTTTCCACGAGATGGAGTGAAATCTGAGTAAAAAAAGTGTATAAAAATCAAGATTCTTGAACTTCACTACCAGCAAGAAAATAAAAATAAAAGAATCCAAGTTATTTACCGCCATTTACGCTGTGAAAATCATCATCTGAGTCGGATTGTAGAAATTGCTGCGTATCGAAAAAGGTTTCATCTTTACTTCCTGTAAAACAAAATTAACACTTTAGGATAAGAACGTAAAATGTGTATGACTCATACATACATGTGTAGTTCAAACCTTTTGATTCAGTAACCATCTTAAGACAGAACAGAACAAATCAGACAAAGAAATGTAAAACCCCTTAAAAACAGAGGAGAGGGAATCTGAGGAAACTACAAAGCAATGCTGAAAAAGAGATTAAATATGAAATCTACTAAAGTTCCCGGGTAAACAAAATTGAAATTTTCAAAAACCCACTTGTTCAAATTAAAGCGTGAAAAACAATGGAACCAAAGATCAAGAAGAGTTGCCCATACTTTTACACAGTTATTTCAGATCTGGGTCACAGGTAAAGTAGACAACTTTATAAATCACAATTCACCAAAATAGCTCTCTGTCTTTTTAAGTTACCTTTTTCTCATTGTGAGAAACAAAAAAAAAGAAAAAAAAAAACTGTTGTCACGGGAAAGTCTTTTGTTTTTGCCATTAAAATCATTTTTACTTAAATTCTATTAATGGAAGAGATCGAATCAGAGACCCGATCTTATCACACACGAAAGAAATAAGCCTTTCTCTCTATGTTGACCGAAATATAATCAAATTGATTAATTTAGAAAGAAGAATAATTTTTGAGACTATTTTTCCGATCACCGAACCTACACCACATGTGCAATTATGTTGAACGTTGATGTAATAAGAAAATGTGTAATAGATCAGACAATAACTAAAACTGAACATCAGACAAAGACAAAGACCAATCTAGGACATGTATTAAATTTCAAAAAGAGAGATCTTTGTAATAAATACCGAAGCTTTTCTTTGAAGAAGAAAACGACCACCGAGATTTGACACCCGGAGAAGCTACCGGAACCGACGCTGTACTCTTTCTCGGCGATTCTGAGAATTGAATATATTAAAAATTATAAACAAAAATAATACCTTTTTATATTTAAAAATATCTGAGAAACCCCACATCCATCCCCCAGTCAGATTCAATATCATCATGAACTAATCATTCTTGATTTACAAAAAATAATAATAATAACATACAATCTGAAGATCAAAACAAAGAGACGATGGTGTCTCTCTGATTATAAGAAATTGAGAAAGAAAAAAAAATACCGAAGGTTTTCTTGGTAGAAGGAGACGACGAGTACAAGGAGTTAGAGATGATCGTAACGCCGTTGTTTTTAACAGTCATCGGAGCTGAATTAAAATCTTTCGTGGGAGATTCTGGTGTTACCATACGTTCTGTTCCAAACGGTGACTTATTAAGCGACGACGACGAAGAAGCTGAGCCCATTCACTAGTATCGATTTTTAATAAATAAATAAAATTAAAAGACTTTAAAGAGAGAGAGATTTTGATTAAGAGGCAAATGAAATGTGAAGACAGAAGGAACTATATGATTCTTTCTTCTTCTTTTTTTGGTTCGTCGGAGAAGGTAATATGTGGGTCCCAGATGGACACGGTGCCCACTCAGTTTTCGTGTTGCAACGGTGTCGTTTCATGGACTCCACGTCTTCATCGTGTGAGATATCATGGTGGGACGCATGGGTGACTTTTTTTTTTTTATGTATAACGTGGCACTTTATTTAAGTATCCCCTGATTAGTGATCAAGTATTACTCGAAATTAATTAAGGTCTTTGAAGAAAGGCAAGTCGTGATTTCTCAATTTTCAGATTATAAAAAACTGGCCAGTTGATGTAACAGTCGTGTTTACTTAATTAATTTGAACTAGGTGATTTTCCCGTGCTCATGCACGGGTATGAATATTTATCAAGTAAATATATTGTAATATATTCTAATTTATTAATTTACATAGATATTTACTTTTAATTATAAATTAATTTATAATTTATATGTATAACTTATATTAATAATATTAGATTATTTTAATTAGACATATGATTTAGTAGATGTTATATTTAATCG